TTGACGAGCAGCAGATTTGAGCACAGTTTGTGTCTATATCTCTTCAAAATTTCAGATGTTTCTGGGCTTCTGGTCTTGACTTACTGGGGCCGTGCCCAACAAAAGGTGGAAGAACATGTTCTTCCATCTGGCCGAAATGGACACATTCCCAGACCCCTCCTCCAGGTAGGTTGGCCCACCCCCATGTAGGGTTGCCAGGAGGGTCATGAACATAACTTGCCAAGGTGGACTTGTTTCTGCATGGCACAGAATGCTGGTCCCAGGAAAAGCGGACAACACCTGTAACTTTTTATGTTTTTGCCCGTGCCCCGAGTGCCATGGCAAAGCCTCACGCCACGCTGATTTTCTCCCGACATGGAGAGTCCCAGTGGAACGTGGACAACAGGTTCACCGGATGGGTTGATGCGGCTTGGAATGGGTTTATCCAACACCGCCACAAAAGAATAGTACTACTGATCACAAGATCGATCATGACGACGATAATAAGGATGATGAGATGAGGACGACGACGATGATGACAAATGAGAATTTGGTTGTTTTTTTTAATGCTGTTACAACATATTCTAACAATAGCATAGTAATAGCATCAGCAAAAGGCGGCATGCAAAGAAGAAGTAGTCATTAACGGCAATAGCAATAATGCTACCAGTCTCAAGAAGAGTAGCAGTAGCAATCACACTAGCAGCAGCAGCAGCAACAAAAACGAGAAGGAAGGTGACGATCCTGCAGTGGATCGCGTGCATTCATAATATCGTCAGAGCTGCATGCAGCTTCAGCCATAGTACAAGTCATGTATTTAGTTAGGGGTCACAGGGTCACAGGGCCTTCCTGGCACAACAAAATTTGACGTGCTTTTGCTCGTTGTTTGGAGCACATGGATGTTCTACATTCAAAGTCGAGAGGTCGTAGAATCAGAGCTTTGAAATGGCAATCTTTCTGGGACATGTGTCGTGTTTGCATTTCTTCCGGTGGGTTCTCGAGGATAGACGGGAAAAACTGTTCATCTTCAAAAAGTCGCAGAAAACGCACGTTCTGGCGTCGAAGGGCTCTCCAGGTTATATTGTGTTGGGCTCACACTTCTGTGCGTTTGGGATTCGGATTCAGGGTGCAGTGTTCTGGGTCCTGCACGTTTTCGGGCTTTCGGGAATTTCGGGGGCATGCAAGGGTTTTGCGTTTCAGGTCGACCTGTCCGCAAAGGGCCTTGGTGAAGCCAAAAGCGCTGGCACCTTGCTGAAGTCGGAAGGCATCAAGGTGGACATGGCTTTCACCTCATACCTGAAGCGCACCTTGGCTTGCTGCTTTCAGATTTCAAGCCGGATTGCTGCAGAACGTGTGGGATGTCTTGCGTCGTCGTATTGATACGTCCTTCGGGCAGGAGCAATCAAGACTTGCGACTTGGCGTTGGAGTCTGCCGATCAGTTGTTCGTTCCGGTTGAGAAGAGCTGGCGGCTCAATGAACGGATGTACGGCGGCCTCACAGGCTTGGACAAGAAGGACCTCTGTAGTCGTTTATCTTCTGGAAAAGACAACAGGGTGGTTCTTCAAGTCTTCAAGTTTCGAGGTTATGTACATAGGGAGGTGGAGGTGCTAAGCATCTCTCAAGACAAAACGGTTCTTCCGTTGGGAGGAGACGGTGAAGAAGCACGGCGCCGAGCAGGTGCAAGTTTGGCGGCGCAGCTTCGACGTTCCCCCGCCCCCCATCGAGGACGACAGCGAGTTCAACCCTGCAAAGGAGCGCTCAGAGATGAAAAGCAAGCTGGGGCGGCGAAGAGGGGTTGATGGTCTTACAGTAGTCCGCGGCGTCACATGTTAAAACCACCGCAGCACAGAAGAGGAAATGCGTCGTGGCCACAAAACCGGAACGCAGAAGGAAATGCAACAGCCGAGTGGTGGGGGAGGGGGGAAAGTCGTCAAACCCCCAGCTCCTGTGTCACAACTCCGCGTCTATCCTGAGCGAAACATCCTGTAACCCAAAGCACTCCGAGCCTGCGTCAGGAAAAGAAGCTGCTCGGCAGCATTGTTTCATGAACTTGTGGAATTAGACTTGAGATACTTCTGAGATGATGCGAAGATTTCAGCAGTCCAGGTATGCCGCGCTGAACAAAGCGGACATCCCCAAGACAGAGTGCCTGAAGGACACGATTGACACGCAGCTTCATTAAGAACCCGTAGGTTCAGAAAGCATGTGCACTAACGTGCGCGGTGCACTGTGCAATTGGTAGGCATATGCCGCATTTTTGAGATGTTCCGAGGCACGGGTGATGCCCTTTTGGGAATCAGCAATTGCACCGGAGCTGAAGAAGGGCAAGACGATCTTCGTTGCTGCGCATGGAAACTCGATCCGGGCAATCCTGAAGTTCTTGGAGGGCATTTCTGACGACGACATTACAGGCGCGGGCTCAGATTGGCGAAAGCATGGCACCCGGATCTTGCAGTCCACCGGATACGTCGACACCGTGGTATGGACGTTGCGAGGGGTGCCCGCCGTGGGGACGATGTAACTTCTGCAAAATCTGCTTCCTGCCCGGCTTGCCTGTCTGCCAAGCTACTGTCAGGCTTGGAAATCCCCACGGGCCGCCCGCTCATGTACAACCTGGATGCGGACCGGATCGGTGCAGTGCAGGGCGGTTTTGCAGTGCTTCCATGCGCTTCCCGTCTTTCAAGACATGCCTTGCGCTGGCTCCAGGACTTAAAGCCAATTCCAAGCGCAGACGCGATCGCGCCGCTCAAGTTTGGGAAATACCTCGGTCGCTTGGATCACAATCGGATTGCCTAGCGGCGCTCTGAATCGGCTTACGACTCTTACGACGCGACGCAATAGGATCTGTACTTGCAAAGGCAACCTGGATGAGATCAAAGCAGCTGCAGAAGCCGTGAAGAACCAGACCAAAGTGGCTGCACCAGCAGGCATGATCCGGAACATGCGTGAGAAATCCATGCTTTGTTCCTGCACGTGTGTTTTCTCATAGAGGCTCCGAAGAAGCTGCACGCGTAGCCTTTTTCCGGCCCAGACATCGCCAGGTGCAGCAGCTGCCCCGGACTCAAAGACCATCATGGCGATCAAAGCCCGTGAGATCTTCGATTCGCGAGGAAACCCCACAGTGGAAGTGGACTTGTGCACTGGCACGGCCGCCAGGTGAAAAAACCAGACGTGTGTGAGTTCAGTAAGAGGATGGCATCGAATGGCAACTGGCATATTCTCGGAAAAGGTATGACGGAAGGTGTGAGACCAAACGGACACGTTCAAAGCAGCTGAGGCCTTGTTCCGGGCAGCGGTGCCCAGCGGAGCCTCCACCGGAATCTACGAAGCATTGGAGCTTCGAGATGGTGACAAAGGTCGCTTGTTGGGAAAGGGCGCCTTGGATTTAGTTTGCTTCGTGCACCTCAGAGAAACCCAGAGAAACCCCATCCTTTTGTCTGTGCTTTGCTCTGTTCTGATCTTGAAACAAGGCGTGCTGAAGGCGGTGGCAAACGTCAACGACATTCTCGGCCCTAAGCTTCTTGGCATGGACGTCACCGACCAAAGCAAGATTGACAAGATGATGGTGGAAGAGAACCTCGGCCTCAGCCAAGTTGCCACAATGCCAAGGCCTTTCGTGTCTGTCGTGTCTTTCGAGCTGCGTGGCTGCTGCGGGAGAACTGAGGATTGATGGCTCGAAGAATGAGTGGGGATGGCAGGGCTCCAAGAGCGCGTTGAACAGCAATACTTCAATGATTCAAGCCACCACCGAAGTCACCCGAAACGGCACCGTGCCAAGGAGCAAGTCCAAAGTCGGCGCAAATGCAATTCTAGCTGTCTCCATGGCTGTTTGCCGTGCTGGTGCAGCTGCGAGTGCTATGCCGCTGTATCAGTACATTGCCCTGGGCTCACTCTCCACATCTGGCATGGCATGCTTGTAGAGTCCCGCATGCCCTACCAAGGCCAAGATTTCTGGCAAGAACACTGATAAGTTCGTCATGCCAGTGCCATCCTTCAACGTCATCAATGGTGGCAGCCATGCTGGAAATCGCCTCGCATGCCAGGAGTTCATGATTTTGCCAGTGGGCGCATCCTCGTTCAAGGAAGCCATGGTGATTGGTGCCGAAGTGTACCACAACTTGAAAAGTGTCATCAAGAAAAAATACGGGCAAGATGCTTCCTGGCAGCAAGCCACACCAAGGAGTGTCAAAGCCGAGCATGCGCTGTGTTGCTGCTTCCAATCTTCCTAAAATCGACAGAAAGGCCTGCAACGTTGGCGACGAAGGTGGCTTTGCGCCGAATGTACAGGACAACAACGAGGCGCGGTGATGCTTGCATACTTGGGTTCACTCACCCTGGCCTGTACTCAAAAAAAGTGAATTCTGTGAGAGGCCCTGGATGTCTTGATGGAGGCTATTGAGAAGTCCGGCCACAGCGCAAAGGTTCCATTCACTGGAGGGCATATATGATTCAATGAAATCTTTCATGAGAAGCGCACTTGCTCACAGGTCAAGATCGGCACAGATGTGGCCGCCTCTGAATTCTACAGTGCTGAAGCGAAGACTTACGATCTGGATTTCAAGAATCCAAGCAGCCCAGCCGACGCTTGGCATGCTTGGCATGCTTGGCTCCTCGGGCGGGTACCCCCTATGTATGCAAGCCCACACGGCTAGCAGCAAGGAAATGAAGAAGACCGCGCCGCAGCTGGCCGACTACTACAAAGCCTGGCTGGACAAGTACCCGTTTGTCTCCATTGAGGAGAGATGCTGCAGACGTTTCTGCATTTATTGATGTCGCTTAGGTGGTACGCAGCGGTGAAGAGTGCACCAAATACAGTTACCTGTATAGTATGGCCAAAAGCGGTCCCCGCAGGATCCGTTCGATCAAGATGACTGGGATGCCTACAAGCACTTCATGTCAGAGGTCTCACTCAGCCTAGAGTCTGATGAAGGGTCCGGATACCTGCGGATAGACATGTGCCGGGCATCAGCAGGTCGGGACGCGCGTTCAGATCGTTGGGGATGACCTCCTCGTGACAAACCCAACCCGCGTCAAGAAGGTGCTGCGCTCAGTGAAACAGGATCCCCTCCCTAGGGGGCCTCCGAAGAGGTGCTTCGCATGCAAGGGCACTCGCAACCCTCACAATGCAAGGCCCTCGAAGTCGGAGCGTGCAATGCCCTTCTCCTGAAGGTTCCCTATGCGAGCTTTTTTGCAAAGGAGACCTTGAGGCTGCGTTGGGTAGTGGGGAAGGACCAGAAAGGTGCGAATCTGTAGGTCAACCAGATTGGATCAATCACCGAAGCCATCGAGGCCTGGCACGCTTGGATGGTGCTGTCGCAGTAGAAGAAAATGATTTTCAATGATTGTCACGAATGAACCAGGCAGCCACAATGTCTCAGAATGCTGGCTGGGGCGTCATGGTGTCCCATAGATCTGGCGAGACAGAGGATAGTTTGTCAACACTACTTGGCTTGCTGTCTGCCGGCCCGAGCTTCCCCCGAACAGGACTCCTTCATCGCGGATCTCGTCGTAGGCCATGCTACTCATGGCGGTCATGATGTGTCGTCATTGAAGGGTAATTGTTTGCGTATTTCTGTGGGCAGGTCTCCGCACTGGACAGATCAAGACTGGCGCGCCATGCCGGTCGGAGCGCCTGTCCAAGTCTCGACCTCGATTTTAGCCTCTTATTCAACCAGTCATGCTGCTCAAACTCAGCATGCCCTGTCACCCTAGCAGCCCTAGCACCGACACCGCGTGCCTCTCAGGTACAATCAGCTTTTGCGCATCGAGGAGGAGCTCGGGGGGCTGGCATCTTATGCCGGGGCCTTAGAAGCTGGCAAGCTATAGCAGTAATATAGAAGTCGGCATAAGACCAGAACGAGGCCGGCGTCGACTTCAGATCGCCCAAGTGAGTCAGCAAATGCTGCATGCACTAGGTCACCGATGCCTCTAGGACAAGATACCTTTGAACTGACACTAAAACTCTTGACGGAATTGACTTGGCTGAAGTGCCGGCGAAAATCAGTGTGCGCGTGCAGCCTGCGAGGGTGTTGTGTTGCAATAGGCAGCAAGCTCACAAAGCATGCTGTTTGTGGGGTTGCTTGTAGAAGCTGCCTTTTCTTCCCGGGACTTGCGCTCACTGGCCCACTTATCGGGAGTGGCAAGATTTGCCAGCATCAGCCGTCCTCTTGCACCATCTGGTGTGCGCTCTGTATTGTCTAAACCAAGCCTCACGACGTAAAACGCAGGCTCCAGGGACCAAACAAACTGAACAACAGGCATTCGAGAAGCCAAACGGACCCTGGGGCAGAGGTTGCAGCAGGAAGTTCAGGCAAACCTGAACCTTCATGCACGGGCACCGGACACCGCTAGCAGAAATTTTCCAGTCCGAAAACCTTGAGGGCTAAGAGAGTGCGGGTCTGAAGTCTGGATGGGACGAAGAGAAAGCCGCCCTTATTGGTCTTGGGCTATCCTCCTGCCCCAACTCCTTGGAAGAATGCCGACCACATCCTTTCGTGAGAGTCGCCTCTTCATTTTCACGGCTGCTGCTGCCACCGCCTCTACATTCGATACTACCGTACAAGTTAGCGAGGGTTCCGTTCAGGACATGCGTCGGTCCAGAGACCTTCCGAATCAGAGACCAAGCAAGTTGGACATCATGGCCTCTCAGCAGCTTCACTCAGAAATCGGGCCGAATCGGGCCAGACCTTCTTTGGCACATCTATTCTTGTCTCCAGTGCCAAAGCTCATGTTTGCATGATCGATGAGACGAGTGGGCAGTTTCTACCCAGAGTGCGCACGAGAACCCTGAAAGAGACGGAATGCCTGTAGGCTTGGGTGCCGGTATGCGTGCAATTTATAGGAAGCCCTCCAGGACTCCTCGTACGAGGGCGCCACACCTGGCCCATTGTTGATACGCTTGGCTTGGCACTCTGCCGGCACTTTCTGCAAGCAAACCAAGACGGGTGGGCCGGATTCTCAGCGCGAGAACCTCTTTGGAATGAAGCTTCGAGATGATGTCTTTTTCTCCACCATCGGTGTGGGGTAGTTAGCTGTTAAACTGAACTCTTCTCCTCGCAAGGTTTACTCTTCGCCATTCACCGTGGGCCATCACCCGTATCCCACCCCAGGTCTCTCAACTTCTTCCACGACTCCTCAGAGTATCCCCAAAGCCCTCTGGAGTGCCCACCCTAGATTAACCCACACAGCCCCCAGAAGGCTAACCTCAGTGTATTTTCGGAGTGCCCAACCCCTGGAGCGCCCAACCCCAGAGTATTCTCGCAGAGTCCCTGGAGTACCCACCCCCAGACAGAGTATCCCAACCGTCCCTGACTTGCACAACCCCAGACTATCCCACGGAGTCCCTGGAATGCTCAAGAGCCCGCAGAGGACAGTCCCTGAAGTGCCCAACCCCAGAGTGTCCCCCGAGAGTCCCTGGAGTGCCCGGCCTCTCAGAGTATCCAGAGAATCCGAGTGCCCAACCCAGAGAGTATCCCGCATTGCCCAACCTCACATATTCCCACAAAATCCCTGGAGTGCCCAACCCTCAAGAAGAGTGCCCAACTCCAGATTATCTCCAGACAATCCCCAGAGTGTCCCTGAAGTGCCCAACCCCAAGAGAAAGTTCGCAAATTCCTTGTCTGCAGGGTGGGGATGTTCGAAGAATTTGTTTTTGGCTTTGGTGGATTGCCCCTTACAAGTGTTCGGTTCACTCTTTGAGTTTCTCCAAAGCGATGCTTGGGGGCGTGTCACGGGCTCGCATAATTGTAAACGCTGCCGCCTCCGCCGTCGGGCCGGCCCACATCCCAAGGCCCAGGAAATTCGGTTGGACACGTCCTTGAGGGGTCTTAGGCTGGTCCATGGTTCCAGAGAAGAAGGTTGTTTTGGGCGCCGCCCGCTCTGTAGGAGCCGTGGACAGGCGGGAACATCCACGGCATCGCTTTGCAGCTCCTCCAAGTGATTTGGGGGCGCGGTCCCAGGGCGGGGTGGGTGCGTCACAAATGTCGGTGTGAGGGGGAAGGAGACTAAATCTTGGCTTGCTTGTTCCAGACGCCGTTTGGCCAGAGGCCGAGGCTTCATTTGTATTATTGCGGGCTGCAGCTCACACAACTTAAAGCCGAAGCACCTTGGACCCCAAAGATCCTTGACAGCGGAGTGTCCACAGAATGCAGCTTCTGTATCATGAGTAAATGGGCCGTCGTTCACCGAGATCGAATGGGGCAACCATGCGCTTCGACCCGGAGCTGGGCTGGGGCGCCAACGCAGGGCTGAAGGTGGCACAAGACCTTCTGGAGCCCGTGCCTTGCCGGAGTTCTGATGATTTTGAGAAGGGTGCTTTCTCCTGGACTCCTGTTGTGGAAGTCGGGCAGGCCATCTGTTCCTGCATGGCTCCCTACCCCCCCAGGTCAAGAAGAAGTTCCCGTCTGTCTCCTACTCTGATCTCTGGATCTACGCGGCATGCGTCGCCATTGAGGAGATGGGCGGCAACAAGGCGGGGATGTGAGCACGTGCAGCATGTGTGCTACGCTTCTCGCGCCCTCAATGAGTGTCATGAGCGTTAGAATACTGATGTGGTTCCAGTGCCAATCTGAAATCTGTAGGAGCCTGTAGCAATTATCCTTTTTGAAGGGAGAACATCTGGTCATCTGGTGACGTGTTTCACCTGCTCGCCTTTGACTTCTCCTGCTGCCAGGGTCCCTGCTCTCTTTCTACCTCTATCTCTATCTCTCCAACTCAAAGGCGCGAACTCTCAGTCCACGACTCCACTCAAAGACCTAAAGGACCTAAAGTTTCGAGGGAGCCCCAGCAGTCCCAACCAGCCATTGCTGCTTCTCAGCGTACAGATAACAGGTTTAAGTTTCGGCTTCTCTACGTTAAGCGCTCTTACTCTGCTAGTTCCTCAGGAGCTCGCAAGGCTCGCAAGGGACTCTTCCAAACTACATCCTTCGCAAGAGAACCTGCAACGACATCAGCGTCCAAAGTGCTACCAGCATGGCAGTCGGAAATTTTTGAGACCACGCCAGAAAATGAGCATGACATGTGAGACTGCATGAGAGGGTTTGACAAAGAAGGAAGGACCAGAAGACAAGAAGAAGCCAGAGTGAGGAGTCCCCCCTGAAAGCCGCCCACGCTGAAGCCCTGTTGAATAATACGGTGAATACCGTACGACCTCTTTGCATGATAGTCAAGGTGCCCTTCACACCGGGCCGCAAGGACAAGAGCAGCGGCAAAGAGTGCCCTGCCTGGGACGGCCCTACCTGCAAGGAGCCCTGCATCGATGCACCACTAATGTGCAGAAGGTAACAGAACCATTTTCAAATCAGGCTGTTGCTTGACGCTTGCTCGCCGTATTCTTCTTGGCTTGAGGACGGTCGCCTGCCAAGTGCCGACATGGGCAGCCCTGACAAGACCGCTGCGCACCTCAGGCTGATCTTCAACCGAGCCATGGCAGGAGAAATGAGCGGTGCTGGCCGCGAAATACAAATCTCGACGAAAAAGCCTGGTATGATGTATCATACTTGCTTATAACTTGTACTTGCTCTTTTGATTACACAGCCATTTTCTGTTATGTTGTGTCTTGTATTGCTTCGCATGCGGTGGTTGGGGTTTTTGAAGTGTTCTGAGGAATGGGCTTCAACGACCAGGATCCTTGCAGACAACTTGGTAGCACCCGGTGAAAGCGAATGCACATGCAAAAACATGCGGCTGGGCGTTTGCCAAGGTGTTAGCATGAACTACCCATCGTGCGACTGGTTGGTGTTTTCTTATCCTCACGAACATTAAATGGCGGACACTCTGCTGTTTCGCACCAAAAATCACGAACACCATCCAACACCACTCAGGACATCTGTAGTCTAGACTCTAGCAAGATGAAGGATCATTGCATCATTGCCGAGAAGGGTTTAAAGCGCAAGTGTTAAGCGAATCTCTCGGATCACTTCGAGGAGATCGTGGCCTTGAGCGGCGCCCACGGCTTGGGCGCCTGTCACACCGACCGCAGCGGCTTCTGGGGTCCGTGGACACGGGCGCCCACCACTGTCAGCACTTGGGAAGCAGTATATGGAGCAGTGTAGCGCCATTGCTTCAGACCGACAGTTTGCAGTGAGCTCAAAGACGCTCACCGAGCGCAACATGCCACGGGCCTCATGAAGAAAGATATGGAGCCTGGACGAAACGACAGAACAAGACATGCACTGCAGAACCGCTGCCAAAGCGGAACCCATTATGCCTGCATCTGTCATGCAGAAACTACTGGCATGAGAGTCTAGAAGCGCGAGTCTAGAAGCAGGAGTTCGCGCTCGAAAGGTCAGTTGCATCGTAATTTACAGCGGTTTTGCTTCTTTGGCCGCAAAACCCACAGTTAGTCCCAACAAGTTGGGTTGAAGCAACAAAGCTGACACAAAGCAAGCAACCACCAACCAACAACACAACATCAATATCTTTGGCTAGGATTGAGCGGGGTTTACGTGATGTTTACTTTGTCCCGCTCCCCAACACAAGCCCGTTTGAATAACATTGCATGCGAACTTTTTTTCACTCCTTACCATTCAATGTTTTAACGCAACCGTGGCTTGTTACAACAGTGTATGCTTGCCAGCCCATCTGATGCTCATGAAACATCCAAGGTGTTTCGTGGTAAAAAGCTTAGGTGTACAGCTACGCCTTTGGCAGTCATGTCTCACAGTCACGTGATACCAGTGATACATGTGTTTGCAGTGGATTTCTTTTCTAAGTTGTGATCAAATGTGGCATTTGGGCTACAGGGCCCTGGCATGGGGGGGGGGGGAGGCAAAATTTCAGAGTGCTAGTGAAAGGAAACGTTGCTAGCACTGCTCGGTTCCGTGGCAGCCGAACCCGGCGACCGGGAAGAAGCACAGCTAGATTTGGACGAGACCACTAAGTTGCTAAGCCGTTGTTGGGAGCGCCTTACAGTCTCCGGGATCACTGGAACTGGCTAGAACGCTAGAGAAGAGTCGACACTGCCACGTCGAAAGACGGGCTACCTTCAGAACACCCTCTCATGGACGACACTCTACGGATACCTGAGCCTCAGCTAGGGGATACGTCCCTGCAGACACCGCCTGTGTGAGTACGCAAACGTCGTCTGCTGGCGGATTGTGCGGCGAACCGAGCTAGGGAAGAGCGGCTACAGGAATGTTGGATCCGGAAGTTCGTGGAGGAAGGTTGGAAGGGAGCCTGCACCCTGAAAGGGATTCATGCGTTTCCTTGTTATATATACGTCCCGTATGAAACATCTTCTGCTGGGCGCTTTCAGGTTGTTGAACTCAGTCTTTGAATATTACATTACGCGCTTTCACACCCATCGCTTGTATTTCATATCCAATTCCAGAAGCCCTAATTAGCTTAAGCCCCAAACCTCGAACCTGTTCCTAACGGGCTCGCTGTTCGTCGCGCTGATTCGCCGGTGTGCAACCAGCAACCCTGCTATGCGGCAACGAACGAGAACAACAAGTGGTAGGGCAGTCGGGTTTTTTCTGAAAAGTGCCACAGTCACGAGGATGGCAGCCCCCACGGTCACCTCAAAGCAGGAAGGGTGGTACATACGTGAACAGCATTCTCATGCTTCTCCTGCGTTCGTCTCACGCTTTGCATCGATTCGACTGATTCCACACTGTGGGCGAGCTGCCTTCAGGCACCGAGTACTACCGTGAATTGTTGGACAACGTTTGGCCGCTAGGATGCACTTCATTCCCATGCGATTCCCTTCGAAGGCTTTGCAAATGCTGGCTTCAAGGCTACGACTTGCTTGGTCGCGCGTAGCGGCAGGTAAGGCGCAAGGCGATGCTGGAGTTCTCACAGCGAACTGCGCCCGGAAGGACGGTGAAGACCACGCACAAGGGACAGCCTTGGAAAGGCCCGCTGCAGTTCGAAGATCCGACAGGCGCGGCGCATCGTGGGCCGTGCCATGATGAAGGGCGGGCGAGGGCTGCTCAGCAGTTTGAGCTTGATTGAAGGGAGCTGGCCGCCCAGAGCTGGAGGTATCGTCATTGGCTGCTTTTGGAACGTATTGTGTTTGAAATCATCCGGAGCTTTTCTGCAGCATTTCAATCCCTGGCATCAGCCTCATTCGGAGGCTCATGAGTCAACCTTTCCTCTCGAAAACATACGGGGCCAATTCCTGGGGCGTACTCGTACTGATCGCCCAAGGAAGGGATAGCATCAGGAGATCCTAGGGGGAAGCGACCGCGGTGCGAGCGCGAATCCAGCGCGGTTGGTTGCGTGGGCAGGTGATTTGATGATGCTCCCGTCTGACATTGTGCTGATTCAGGACGACATCCATCATGGACAATGGGGCAAGCTCGAGGGACCCGCCTAGGTAGGATGCGCAACGCTCCTAGTAGAATTTGGGTTCGTCCAATTAAGAAACGGTTTGCGTTCGAGGTGCTCTTGGCTTCTTGAAAATGCTGCTACGACCATGAATTTCGGCTTCTCCGTTGTTTTGATTGGCGGCCACACCTTGTTTCGGCCATGGCTTGGGAGAAGGCTCTGACCGTCCGACGGGTTTGGGGGGTGCAATCACATTCCAGGCTAACAGTGTTCCCGATTCCCCGAAAAGCATCTCGACTGAATTCCGAGTTCCGATAGAAAAAAGATGCCCCAAAAACATGACAAGAGTGGTATCTCTCGGCAAACGTGCATGAACCTGTACCAAGTGATCTCGAACAGGACCGAGAGTTCCGGAAGTATGTCGAAATCTACGCCAAGGAGCCACACCGGGCCTGCAAATTGTGCTCTCTACGCCACAGCCTACAACCAGCTATCGTAAAATCCTGAGAGTTCAAGCGAAAGGCAGAAGGTGGTAGATGCAGTAGAAGCACCGGCGCTTGAAGGACGATGCTCGCTTCCAGAAAGACTTCGCCCAGGTGGTGGGGAAGCTCTTTGCGCGCGGGGCTCACACCATCCCTCACATTGCTTTGGATTTTTCGTAGAGTCGTAAAGCAATTAGGAAATGGAGACGAGGATTTAGCTGAGCGACACTAAGGCTGGGCGTCGGTGAGTCCAAGAAGTTCGGCCTCTTCTGAGAGTGAGGTGTGGGCCCAGAGTGGCTCTAGGTTTTTGTGGCAGTGTGAACCTTCGCGGGCAGCACATGCTTTGCCCTGCGTGCTCCTCACGACGATGGCGAGTGATAGAATATATTTCAAGTACCAAGCCTACAGCCAAGGCTTGCACAGATTCTGCCGACGGCACTGACCCGTTGTGAGACACCGTACCAGCAAAAGAATGGAGAAAGAAACCGACAGCGAACCTGGATCCTCACAGGCAAGTTCTTGGTACTGATGGTGGTTTCGTTTTGGCACGGACATAGGTCTAGCTTTCGGGGTTCAGGGCGATGAGATGACATGTTGAGGACAGGCTGACATCGGTGCCTTCCAAGCAATCACCTAAGGACCTAAGGGTTTTTTGTTCTTCCGCAGCTGACTTCAGCCATCCGCCCTCGAGTCAAGTCTCTGTCGCCACTTTGCCACTTTGCCATGTTCGGACGAGTCATGCGCCCAGGCAGGCATGAAAGGAGATGAAACGAGTGATAGAATCTGTCATGTGTCGTTTATAGATGTATTTTCCAAGCATCATGTCGACGACCCTGCCGTGCGGTTCTCTTGAACTTGTATGGAGAGGGCGCTTGTGAGTTTCACCTGGCCGTAGTGACCTCCCGGTACGCCGCCTGGACTTTCGACGAGAATGCTAGCGTGGGAGAGCACAGGTGAAAGAGAGACAGCAGAGACAGGAGACGGAAACGCCATGCAACCTTCCAGTCGTCCATTCACGGTTTCGCTTTCGAAAGAACTCATGAGTTTGCTGCATCCGGTGGAGTTTGCTGTTGCACCTTAGAGAAGTCCGCTTGGACAGCCTTTCCAGTCTCCGGGCTGCAGGCTTTCTGGCCTTGCGCCGTTTGGCACAGGTGCAGGCGAAGGACGGAATCAGTGTTCTTGTGGTGGCAAGTGCCTGTCCAGATCCGCCTGCGTTGGCCGTATCAGGCACCCACTAGAGCCGCGCTCGCGCTCAGCGCTGGGGCTTTCGGAGCTGGCGCTCTAAGCGCCAACAGCTGGGTGCGACCTGCCGGGCATCCTGGCTGCAACGTGGGGTGTATTTCGAAGTGTTTTTGTTTTAGGTGTTCGACAGATCTGGGGACGAATGCTGCTACAGTAGCAGAGGCTTAGAAGACGTCGCAGGCAGGCACTGCATGCCATAATAGGTACTTGACTGTATTGACTCATCGCCATATCATCTGGTGAAGGCCATGGAACCTTCGTGATCTATCCCTTTGCTGATCAGACATGGGCTGTAGCGCCCTGCTTCTGCTTCTGCTTCTGCTTCTGCTTCTGCAGTGATTCTCCAATTAAGCGGTGCGGCGCTCCCAGCCTGCGGCCTCTTCCGCGGCATCTTGCGGCCACATAGATCCCACGAAAGCACCCTCATACTGCTTCTTCCGGCCGTACACACTGTTAACCGGGCACTCTGTCTCGCTTACAATACTTCTTTTATCAATATAACAGTATCATGATACATGTTCATATGACAATTGCTCAAAGAAAGTAAGACTGCGCAGAGTGAACAAGAATTTGCATGAAACATACTCGTATAAAGTTAGAGACAAGTGCAAGCGCGGGATGCAGCTTGTATAGCAGAAGGCTGCAGAAAGGGGCGGTCAACCGGTACACGCAAGAAGAGGCAGATTTGAAACTGATTCCCTTTGTGAGCGTTGCCACAAGCATACACCTTGCAACCTGAGGTGTGAGGAAGTCAACTGGGATGCCGTCCGGAAGGAGATTGTCAAGATCCTGGACGATGACACGTACAAGGAGAGCTGCACGTTTAAAGGGCTTAGGGCTTCATGCACACTGGCCTGAAGAATACCTTTGTGTCTCAACCACCCGGTGTTTTCTTGGTGTCGCCACTTGCCACCGCGCGAAAGCTCGTCACGCAAATTCCGCTGCTTTTGTTAGCGCGCAACGCCTTCATCAGTCTTCTGTCTTGGGACACGACATGACACGACCCTGGCATCGTTCAGATGTTGGCTC